GGAGTCAGTTCTCTCCTTCTACCATACGGGTTCTGAGGATTGAATGCAGGTCATCAACCTTAGCAAGTGGTCCTACCTGCTGACCTACCCATCTTGCAGGCCCTGAAAACATGTATTTTTGTACCTATCATCCTTCACCTTTCCCTGGCCACTACTGTAACCATAAGAATGATTCAGGGTTTCCAAGAATTACCTGGGTCACATCTGTCCCGTTGGGTGCAGAGTAGGTGTTTTGTTTGTTTGGTGCATGCGGCAAGAGGCCATGGTTTATTTAAAGGCTGTATTTCCTTTGTTGGAAGCTTCCTGAGACAAGCGCCTAGGCGGTTGTAGGCATATGTCCTCAGGGTCTGGCACACGGATACACATCAGCTGGTAAGGCTTAGTTAGCAGTTCCTAATGCCCAGCGCCTGCGGCCGAGATCCACGCTGCTGAGAGGTATGCAAGTAAGGCATCTCTAGGTTCACTTTCGTCAGCCCTGGGTCTGCTCCTTCAGCAGACCTGCTGCCCAGAGGATGAATCTTTGACACATAGACACTGAGAACCTTGGCCAAGGGCTGAAGCTGTAGATCGGTTGGTATCAAGGCCTAGAATGCACCAAGGCCTGGGGGTGGACCCCAGCACTGCATCCACCAGATGGGACGGCACACTCCTGTAATCCCAGAACTCAGGAGGAGGAGGAGGCAGAAGGATCAGGAGCTAAAGGTCATCCTAATCTACTGCACAGAGAGTTCAAGGCCAAACTGGGATCTGTAAGGCCATGCAGAGAGGTGGGGGGAAGGGGAGAGAGACTATAAGAGAGAGACCCTAACCCAGCTGTCCCAGCTAGGAAGTGGCCACACTGCATGCCAGTTCTCACTGCCTCTAGCTGCATGCCGGCTGCCCTTTGGACCTCCTCTCTCTGCTGTCAGGTACATGTGCTCCTCCGTGCTGCAGCGAGCTCTGGCAGCACCCCTGCTCTGGATCCTGCTGGCCCTCCTTGACGGGAAGTGTTTCGTGTGTGCCTTTAGCAACTCCGTTGACCCTGAGAAGTTTCTGGATTTTGCCAACATGACCCCCAGCCAGGTACAGCTCTTCCTAGCCAAGGTGCCCTGCAAGGAGGATGTGATGGTTAAAGACAGCCCTGCACGCAAAGCTGTCTCTCGATACCTGCGGTGCCTGTCACAGGTAAGCAGGGGCCTGCCCAGGCCTTGATCCCTCATAGATACTGTCCTGGCTAGTTCTATGTCAATTTGACACAAGCTAGAGTCATCTGAGAGGAAGGAATCTCAATTAAGAAAACACCGTCATAATGTACTGTAGGCAAGCCTGTAGGGCATTTTCTTAATTAATGATTGATGGGGGAGGGCCCTGTCCATTGTGTGTGGTGCCACCCCGGCCTGGTGGTCCTGGGTTCTATAAGAAAGCAGACTGAGCTAGCTATGAGGAGCAAGCCAGCAAACAGAACCTCTCCATGGCCTCTGCATCAGCTCCTGCCTCCAGGAGCCTGGCCTGTTTGAGTTCCTGTCCTGACTTCCTCAATGATGGAAGTACAAGCCAAATCATTTCCTCCCCAAGTTGCTTTGGTCACAGTGTTTCATTACAGCAATAGTTTCCCTAAGACAGATACCCCAAGTTGCTTTGGAGTTAGCGCTGAGCTGGGTCTACATGACTTTCTGAGGATGCTCCTCACTGCTGGAGCCATAACAAAGGGCAGGAGATGTAGGGGGATTGGGACCACTACCCTTGAGAGATGAGCACTGGACTGTCTGTCTTAGGCTTTTTATTACTGTGAAGACACACCATGACCACAGCAACTCTTATAAATGAAACATTTAATTGAGGTGGCTCGTTCACAGTTCAGGGGTTCAGTCCATTATCATCATGGTGGAAGCTGCCATTTATTGAACGCTTCCACTTCAGGCTCTGTGTTAAGTATTTTCTGAGCATCAGTTTGTCTGATTCTCAGAACGCCCCTTTGGGATGGAGGCAGTTGTTAGCATCCCATGTTTCAGATGAGGCAATGGAGGTTCTGGGAGTGTTTAGTTCACGAGGCCGAAGTCACATAGCTTGTAACAGGTAGGGCCAGCTTCTGGCTACACATGGCACTGGTCCTTCTCTCTCCTTACAAGGGAGGGCCTCGCCAGCTGTTGGGATTCTTACTGGGTAGCCTCTCCACTAACCGGGGGCATCCACAGCCCCACCTCCACACAGGCTGCCAGTTCCACCACCCAAGCCTGTGCTAGCCTGTGTCCATCACAGAGCGTTTATGAGCGCGTTACACATGGAGTGTCTCCACGACTCCAGAGACCCAATACTCTGGAGTAAAGGGAGCATTTAGGCTCAGAGGAAACAGGCTTGAGGTATGGTGAGAGGACCAGCACTCAGTGTGTGCAGCGCTCTAGGCTCTCCCAAGTCCAGTAGAGAACACATGGAGTTCGCAGTCAGATCCAGGTTTGCATCTTAAGTTTTAAGTTTTCAGTTGTGCCTGGCTTATCAAGGCTTTTTGTTTTTTCCTGATTCTCATACATAAAATACTCAACTTGTTTGGTGAGGGAGCCTGTGTGTAACCAAATAAGGAAACTCTAAAGGGTGAGTCACTCCATCTACAAGTGACAAGGATTTTCATGTTTGTGGGCCTGGGAAAGACTGCAGCTTTGAAAAAGGAGAGGAGCCGGGCAGGTGTGGGCTCCAGCATTAGAGAATGACTTCTGGTTTCCCTCACCAGTGGCCTAGAACGCTGTCCCCTTGTCCCTGTCCCTGCTTAATGCCCCACAAAATATAGCATAGCTATGAGAGTGGATGGGAAATATACAAGAGAATGGGTAAAAAGATAAAGTGATTGATGTGCAGGTGAATGGGCCATAAACAGAAAGAAGAAGAATATGAGGCATGGATGGATGGGAGATGGGGACGGCTAAGAGGAAGGATAAATGAAAGAATGGGGAGATGGAAGAATGATGGACATACAAAGGAGAGGAAGGGTGATTGGACGGATGGGTGGAGAGATGGTTAGATGGATGAATCCGGAGGGTCGGTGGCGGGATGGTGACTGAATGGGAAAATGTATAGATGTGATAAAGGCTAGAGAGAAAGGGAGGGGCCTTGGAGCGCGCACAGGGTGCATCTCACAGAAGCCTTCTCACTCTCCAGGCCATCGGCTGGAGTATTACCTTGCTGCTGATAGTGGCAGCCTTCCTAGTCCGCTGCCTGAGGCCCTGCTTCGACCAGACCGTTTTCCTGCAGCGCAGATACTGGAGCAACTATGTGGACCTGGAACAGAAGCTCTTCGATGAGACATGCTGTGAGCATGCGCGGGACTTCGCGCACCGCTGCGTGCTGCACTTCTTCGCGAGCATGCAGGGAGAGTTGCAGGCTCTGGGGCTATGTAGGGACCCAACAGGTGGAATCCCAGAGTCACAGGAACCCCAAGAACTCCCTGAGGACCTGGATAGTGGAAGCGGGAAGGCCTACCTGCGTGCGATCTCCAGCCAGGAGCAGGTAGATCACCTCCTAAGTACCTGGTACTCCAGCAAGCCGCCCCTTGACCTCACAGCATCCTCCAGGCTCCGGGGGCCTGGCCTCAACCACCGTGCCCCTATAGCTGCTCCAGGTACCAAGCTGTGCCACCAGGTCGATGTGTAGGGATCTTGGTAGGCTCCCACAGCAGCGGTTTTCCCATGTCACATGCCCATGTTGACACGGGTCTGGAAGCCAGCCTCCCCTGTTGACGTCCCAAATGGCCCAGTGTCTGCCTAGTTTCTGGGCATGCCCTCCTCTATGGATACCATTCCCTCTGGGCCCAATCAAGTTCAGATTCTGATTCAGCGCACCCAGGACTGAGTCCCTGAATCTATCCTCCCTCCCTCCCTCTCTTTTCTTCCCTTTCTCCCTTCTCCTTCTCTTCTTCCCTTGCCCCGCCCCCCCCTTTTTGAGGAAGAGTCACACTTCAGCTGTCTAGCCGAAGAAGGCCTTGAACTCCAGGCCTGGACTGCATGGCTAGCCTCAGGCTCCCTTAGTGTCAGGATTACAGGTGTGAGCCCACCATTCCCTGCTTTCTAGAATCTCGTCTCTAACGATCCCCAACGCAACACTGGTTCTTCTGGGCAGTGGACCAAACTTTGAGTAGTCACAGTCTGAATAAATTGTTGTGGATATGGGTCATAGACATTGATTCCAAATTAAAAAAATAATCATACTTGTGTCGCATGCTTGATATTTAGTCATTCAATCTTCATGTAACCTGGTGAATGAGGTATGATCATTAGTGCCCCCTTTAAATTTAAATTACGTTTAGTGTGTGTGTGTGTGTGTGTGTGTGTGTGTGTGTGTGTGTGTGTGTAAATCAGAGGACAACTTGTAGGAGCCAGCTCTCTCCTTCTGCCAAGTCTGTCTCAGAGGTCAAACTCAGGACATCAGGCTGGTCAACAAGTGCCTTTACCTCTGAGCCATCTCATTTAACAAATTTGTTTTATTTTATGTATATGGGGCTGGGTGGGAATGTGCATGTGAGTGCTGGTGCCCACAGAGGTCTTGGTTCCCTGGAGCTGGAGTTACAGGCAGTTGTGAACTACCCAATATGGGTTCTGGAAAGCCAGGCTTGGGTCCTCTGCAAGTACAGTATGGACTCTTAACCACTGATCCATCTCTCCAGCCCCACCCCATCCCCCTTTAAAAGCCTTACTCTGTAGCCTTAGCTGATCAAGAGCTTTCAGGGATTACAAGTGTGCCAGCACACCCCAGAGACAAAGACTGTGTGTGTGTGTGTGTGTGTGTGTGTGTGTGTGTGTGTGTGTGTGTGTAACAGGGTCCCATGAAACTTAGCTGACCTCCAACTGTCTGTCTAGCTGAAGATGACCTTGAACTCCTGACCTCCTGCCTCCACTTCCTGAGTTCTGGCCTTGCAAATGTGCGCCTTCATGCACAGCTAATGCAGTGCTGGGGATGGGACTCAGGTCTTGGTGCATGCTAACCAAGCACTTTGCCAACTAAAGCTACATTATTAGATCACTGAAAAAGAAAACTGAACCAAAAAGGTGTTGAAGTTGCCGAAGGTCACCTGATAGGAAGGCGTTGGCATTGAATCCCAGGACACCTGGCCGGGTTCTATTCTGAGCTCTGGCGTCAGTTTACTCTCTAGGTCTTTTGATTGTCTTTCAATGCCCTTGTTGGGTTTCTCGCCGCTGCTACCAGGGTTCTCATGGTAGGCCCTAGCCAGCTCTGCTTCGTATATTCCTCACGAAAGCCCTGGGCGCTGACTCTTAAGGGCCACTCCAGATACTTTCTATTTTCCAGACTGGGGATATAGCTCAGTTGGTGGAATGTTTGCCCAGCATGAATGGGGGTCCAGTCCTTCGCACCGTATAAACTGGGCATGATGTGCTCACTTGTATCCAGTACTCAGGATGTGGAGGCAGGAACATCAGATGTTTGAGGCCATCCTCAGACACAAATTGAATTCAAGGTTAGCCTGAGCTACAAAAAAATAATTGTGTCTCAAAAATAAATAAATAAATAAATAAATAAATAAATAAATAAATAAATAGGGCTGGTGAATTAGCTCTGAGAATAAAGGCACCAGCTGCCACCCTGAAGACCTGAATTCAGTCCCCAGGGCCCACATCATAGAAGCAGAGAGGCAACTCTGGCAAGTCATGCTCTGACCCTCACATGCACCCACATGGCAAGCAAACACCACTCTCCCAACACACACATGAACTGTTAAAAAAAAAATCTTACAAAAGAAAGAAGAAAGCAACTTTGCTTTAAAATATTCTATATTTTCCTGTGGAGCAGATTTTTCTGTGAAGTCAAGAAGGGGGTGACCTTCATATCCCTCAGTTCCCGTCAGTTCTGTTTGTAGCTGGGCACAGCTAAGCCTGGTCCAGGCTCTTTCAAGCCCGGCCTTCTGCCTCTAGCTGGCAGGCTGCTCCTCACCTTTCCGCCACGTCTCCGCTGACGGCCTCGTGAATCAGGAGTTAGCATCTTCCCCTTCTCAGGTGGCCCCTTCCCCGGGGAGTCCTGACAGAGGTGGATAGCCTGGTAAGGGTATCTCCAGAACCAGGTGGGGTCTAGCTTAGGAACAGTTAGAGCTGCTAGAAAAGTCACACTCTCTGGCAGCCCAAACAGGAAGAGCTGGGGAAAGATCAAGCCCGTGAGTGCCTCTGAGCTTCTGCCTGACCCTAATGACTCACTTGTGCCCAAACGCAAAGCCTGCCGGGTTTACTGCAGTCTCTGCTACTTCCTCGGGGCCCTGGGCAGTGTAGGTGCCCCTGATGACCCCCTGGAACCTGGATCCCTCCATTAAGACCTTTCTACTCTCCTGGGCTTGTGCTAAGGCACCCGGTGAGACCAGAAAATCCCTGCAGCTCAGCTTCCCCCGACTTCCTGACTGCGGTCAGGCCATGCAAATGTCTGCAGTAGCGTGGGGTGCAGGACATGATTTAGGCAAATTGTTGTCAGGGACTGCGGGAGAGAGGGAGAGAGAACTTGATGACAGCCCAGCGTGTGGGGGTGAGCCCCCGCCTTGGGAAAGGAGATTGGGAGAGGGCTGCCTTGGGTCCTCTGCAGAAGCAACATGAGAGCTATTAAAAAACCACCAACTGTAACTGTCGCTCCTTCCTCCCTACACTGAGCATTTATAGAGCACCTCCTGCATACGGCACTGTAACAGGAAATACGGTAGAGATACTTTATAGGTGACCTCAGGAGATCACTGTTTAAGGGGACAGAGATGGGGACAGAAATGTTGATAATCTGAAGCAAACAGTGCGACATCACAGAGGCAAGCCATGCACCCGGAAGCTTTTGGGGGGAGGATGAAGCTATAGACTGAGGGACAGTGGCGATATCGTGTGATTGGGTCTTAAGGGATAGGGCTCTTTTGACATTTGGAAAGCAAAATGAAGAGGAAACAGCAAAGACACAAAAATGGAGTTGGCAAAAGTCTGTGCCTGTTGCATTTTCTCCTGGGCTGGAGTGGAAGGTAGGGGCATGATGAGTGAACTCACAACCGAACAGAGAGGTACCAGGGCAACCAGACAGAAGTAAAGGACATCGGTTAGAGCCTGGAAGTCCATCAAGCGATGGTCCCTGAGCCTGAGCCCAGTGACACCTTCTCTGGACCCTCCTGCCTTACCGTGAGAGGCACCTCTCACCCTCTAAGGCCCCAGTTGATACAGCCACAGACCCTAAACCTCTCTGCCAACATCCACCCACACTCCCTTTGCTCACATCCTTGCAAGTGTGAGATGTCTCGAGCTACAGGTACCACCCCAACTAAAAATGAGGGACACAGGTAACAGGCTCACTTGGCTCCTAAAGACCCTGCCTTTCAAGGACAGTAGCTATCTTGGGGGCCAAGACACATTCCTTGAGTCTCAGCCAATCCTGGATTGCAGCCCCCTGACCCTGTCCTATACACAAGGGAGACTCAACATCCAACTGAGCAAGGCAGATTGGTCCTGAAAGCACCAGCTTTGTCTGGAGAGGTCTTCATCTGATGAAGCCTGGATACTCAAAGTCCCCACATCTATTCCCACTGTGTGTGTGTGGGGGGGGGAGGGGGCGTCACCTCCAGGGAGTACTTAATACTTGGTACTATGTACAAGCAACTTAGGGATCAAGGCAAGTGCTCAGTGAGTGGCAAGGTCAAGCAGGAGATGCTACTTAGGATTGGTCTGGGTGAAGGGATGCTGAAGGCTACAGGAATGGATGGGGCTGTCGAGAGAAAGGCTAGAGTGGGGCCAGGCGGCATCTAGGGGAAGGGCGAGGGTCCGCTAAAGAGGAAAAGGGGCAATCAAGAAGCAGAGATGCAGGGACAGTCCAGGAAGTGCAGGGTTTCACGGGGCTCTGTGGGAGCCATACGAATCCCCAGGCAACTGCCCCTTCCAGAATTCCAAAGGAAGGTCAGAGGCTCCGATGCTCTTCCAGTCTGTGGTGCTGATACAGTGATGACCATTCACATCCTGTGTGGGGAAAGATGCTGGGGCCCAGGACCACAGGGGAAGCAGGGGAATGTACCCATATTAAATGCTTCCACTTTGGAGGGTCTCATAGAAAACTAAAGCACTTTGCTGTGCGGCCAACTGCACCCAACCTCTCCCCTTCCTTGCTTCATGGGCTCTTTTAGGAGAGGTGAGAGTAGGGATTGGGGATGCATGTCCCTGAAGGTCTGGGGACAACCAGTGGGAAAGAGTCTGGAGTGACAGGTGCTGTGGAATAATCCTTCTGTACACTGTAAAATGTGTTGCTCTCATTGTTAATAAAAAGCTGATTGAGCTGGGCGGTGGTGGCGCACGCCTTTAATCCCAGCACTCAGGAGGCAGAGGCAGGTGGATCTCTGTGAGTTCGAGGCCAGCCTGGTCTACAGAGCGAGATCCAGGAAAGGCGCAAAGCTACACAGAGAAACCCTGTCTCAAAAAAAAAAAAAAAAAAAAAAAAAAAAAGCTGATTGACCAATGGCTAGGCAGGATTTTCAGGGCAGAGAGAATGCTGGGAAGAAGGGCGGAGTCTGAGGAGTCATAAGCAAGAAGCAGAAGCAACATGGGAAGTTCACAGATGAGGTACATGAGCCTCAGGCAGCACATAGATTAATAGAAATGGGCTAATTTAAGTTGTAAGAGCTGGCTGGAGACAAGCCTGAGCTATCAGCTGAGCATTTATAATTAAAAATAAGTCTCTGAATGGTTATTTGGGGAGCAGCTGGTGGTACAGAAAAGCCCCCCTCCAGACAGGTGTGGGCAGAACAGAGGTGACACTGAGTTGCCCTCCAGTAACAACTGCCTTGGCAGTGAGCTTTGAACACCCACCAGGCCCTTAGCCCTCTGTTCTCCCAGATCCTCCCTCTGCAGGGAAACCTAAAACCACCAAGGAAGGCCTCCTGTTTGGGTCTGAATTCTCACCTCCCCTCAAATTTATGCTTTCCTTTGATCACCCATTTAGGTATTCATGCAGCACGTATTAACTGAGCATCTATAAGTACCAGGTACAGTGTTCTCAGTATTGGAAATGGATAGTGAACAGGGGGACTGGAATTATGGCTGAGCAGTTGAGAGCATTGGTTGCTCTTGCAGAAGACCTGGGGTCGATTCCCAGCACCCACATGGCCGCTCACAGCTGTTTGTAATCTGTACCTCCAGTTCCAGAGACTCCAACGCCCTCTTCTCAGGGCACCAGGCACTCATGTGGTGCCCATGCATACATGTAGACAAAATGCTCATACACATAAAATAAAGTATCTATTAAAAGAATAGCAAACAGGCCTGGAGAGATGGCTCAGGGGTTAAGAGCACTGGCTGCTCTTCCAGAGGTCCTGAGTTCAATTCCCAGCACCCACATGGTGGCTCACAACCATCTGTAATGAGATCCAGTGCCCTCTTCTGTCATGCAAGCAGAACACTGTATACATAATAAAAAAATAAATCTTAAAAAAAAAAAAAAAAAGAATAGCAAACAAAATAAATGCAGGCCTTCAGCGCGTGTGGTCCAAGGGGAGCCATGGATATTAAACAAACATCCTCTCAGCATAGTTAAGTTTGAAATAAGGGGGCTGAGGAGACAGCTCAGTGGGTCAGAGAACTGGCTCTGCCAGCATGAGGACCTGAGTTCAAATCCCCAGCCCCCATGTGAGGTCCAGCATGGGTGGGCACGCCAGGAACCATGGAAGGCAGAGTAGGCAGATCCTGAGAGTTCACTGGCTGGCCGGCCTAGCTTAGAAGGTGAGTGTCTAGCTCAGCAAGAGAATCTGTCTCCAGGCAACAAAAAGACTGATAAAGGAAGACATCCAGCAAGTTCCTGCTCTGACCTCTACCTCTGACCTCCACATCTGTACGCACATGCATGGGTACAGTCACTTGTGCATGCAACACACACA